TACGAGATCGTCTTGCCATCTGTTGGTGGCATACGAGAACGGTTAATCGGATGTCAATGAAACTGGTATGGTCCTTACGGCGTTACAGGCCAGTCCGAACGAGAGCTCTCTGTGCCCGCCAAACCGTCGGTAATACAAATGTAAAGAATGCTCAGAGTGCAATGATGACGTCGTTACCCACGATCCTCTGCACTACGGTGATGACGTCATGATAAGAGCCGAGGGAATGACAAATGGAACAATGGTATTCGAGATACGATTGTAACGGATTCATCTTTGTATCATCTCGAGAGTTCGAGCATCCGCCGCGTTCATATTATTGAGTGTACAAAATTAATAACCTTGAGCTTGGAACAGTCTCCAATGGGATAGCACTACATTTCTTGAAAATCCTTTAGTAATTCTGGAATTGTTGCATGAGTACAAAGCGGTCAACTTTACGACGTCATCAGGGCAGCTAATTGAATAACAAATCTAACAATGGCAACAGTGTGCAAATGCATATTCCTTACACGACACAGCCCATTCTCGAGTTTGTCGCCGCTATATCACATATAGGTATACTTTTGCTGGCCTGTGTGGTAATTATTTTCAGACCTATTAGTTATTAGATTTGTAAACTTTTTCTGTTCCATGCGTGATTAATCAGATCCCAGTTCTTAGGAGACTTGCTAGTTTTCTTGTCCATCAGACAGAAGGGCTTGAAAAAATGAGTCATAAGCCCCCCCCCCTCCCCACAAAGAAGTCACAAAATGGTGGGTTCTAACTCTTTTGGTAGGATATTGAGCTTGAGTGATAACTGGAGTTAATAATCTAAAGCACAAGGATTATTAACCCTTTGAACTGGGTTGTAACTGTTTGTACCTCCAGCCTTAACAATGAGTAATTCTTCTGCATTTTGCCCTAAGATAGTATTCTTTGTGGGTTTCAGTATAATAATATAACGATTATTTCTTACACTAGTTCTTTGTAATGGAGGTGTTTTCTTTGCAGTAGGGACTGAATTTCTAAATATTATTCAGCAGAACTTCAGCTTCAAGTTGTTAATCTAGGGTACTAATTCTTCTTATGCTATGTTTTAGACTAGTTTATATGTAATATTAGACAGCCCAGTATAAGGTTTTTAAAATGTGTTATACTTTGTCTCAAATATGTATGGTTTTGTGTCATTGTTATCTAATGGTTTAGTTGACTTACAAGAAGATTTTGTGTTGTACATTTTTGCGTACTCTACTTTGGATATTTTAGTTCCTCTTATGTAAGTAAAAGCAACAGATTTTTGTGTATCTTTTAAAATGTTTATAACCTACGTGACACTTCTTTGGTGTTGTGTCTGAGACATATTCCATATTTCTCCAGGTTATTTTATATTTACAGTTCTGATTTAATGTTACGCAGTGCTACCTAATCAACAGTGAACAAACATTTTTTTTTGTGAAAATTTTATGTGGAAAATAGTCTGAGTGGGTAGTGAACTTTTCATAGACAAAAAATGTATTTGTTTTGCTTTGATGATACTATCCAGTGGGTTTCTTCTACAGTGAGAAAGCAGCTTTAACTAAACTTTTGGAAAGAGGAGATGATGTGTCTTTGAAGTCTGTGTCACCATCTGAAGGCAGTTTTCTTAGTGTCATCAGTGCTGCAGAGAATGTGTCTTTGCCTGATCTGCTGCAGCCAGAATTTGTCTACAAGAAGCAAACAGATACAGGTTTGGATAATAGTAGATAAAATGTTGCTAAATCTAATTAATTCTGAATGTCATTGGTGTTGGTATGTGGGAACCAAGTTAATTTTAGCGTTGTTTGAGGTTTTTATAATACCACTTTTTAATGTTTTTTTGAAGTGCTATCAGTAATCTGGTTTTACTATTACTATTCTGCCGGATTCTACAGCTCTTGGCCTCCTTAAGGATTTTTCTCCATTCCTCTCCCCCCCTTGCATTCCTTTACCATCCCGTAACCCACAGCTGTTTAAGGTGATCGTCAACATTAAGGTTTCTCTTCTGGGCTTCCCATTGCTTCTCCTGCCTTCAGTGTTTTTTTAATCTTCTTGATACTTCTAGAGTCTTTCATTCTTTCTTCATGCCCAATTCATCTCATTCGGCTTCTCTTTATCTCTGACACAGTATCTGGCCACTAATATTTTGGGGGCAAACACATTATATTGAAGAAAGTTCAAACTATGCATATTAAAGGGCACGATATACTCCTCCGATTGGCGTAGTCAGATCAGGTGGGTGCGAATGGGTGTAGGTATGGTAGGCAAGAAAAAAGGCACATTACTGAATGACGGTCCCCGCACAAGATGGCAAGATTTGGAGATGGTGAAGCTGATGGTTGTCAGTTGTATCAGTGAGAGCTAGTGGTATGTTTGTTCCACAGAAAATCTTCAAGCACGTTCTCACTAGTGTAGCTTTGCAAACACTATTTTTTAATGCCTACAGTGTTATTAGATTGGCTTTGACACTTTTATGGATCTGTGTAAACATTTTGGTATTGTTGCTAAGCCACGTGAGAAACCTAAAACTGGCTAACCAAACCAGTGAATGTTACATGTTTGTTTTTTACTTGTGCTAATCTGCTTACAAGCTCACAGCTGTTAGACAAAACATTGATGTGCCATTGAAACATTGCTATCAAGAATATGTCAGTTTTAAATTAAGCAGATTGTTATGGCTTCAATAATATTTAACCTTTTGCTTTTCCAGGTAACTAAATGAAGAAACACAAATAATATAGTCATGTAGAACAAAGTTTCCTGACATGCTGAGGACTTCAAAAATCTAAACTGTATCCAGCAGTTCTCTCCCGTACTCTGTAGTTTGTGAGAAAAACCAGGGCATAAAATGAGCACTTTCAGTAGTAGAGCAAGATAAGGTTTAAATAAAAAGTTCTTTGGATATTTTCCATCGTGTAGTAAAATAATAAAATATGACGACGTTTCGGTGATGGGGCTCTATCTCCATCTTCAGGTACCTACTGTGTTGGGCCCAATAGATAGAGCTAATCCCTATCTCCAGACTGGTCCGATGATGGAAAATATCCAAAGAAATTTTTATTTAAATAACTCGCCATTGTCACGAACTTTTAGATATGAAGATAAGGTTTGTTTTTCAGACACAGACACAACAGAGTACGAGAGTGCTCCTGAGACCGATCCTCTTGATGCAACATCTCCTGTTGGGAGTCTCATTGCTGAAGATCTCCTTTCAAGTTTTCAGGAGGCTTTGGATAAAAAATACCCAGGAACTGGAAAAGAGGGAATTGTGACAGAAAGTGCAGCTGCTTTAAGTCCAGTTAATCCTGTTGCTAGTATCAGCACTGAAGCTATCAACAACAGTTCTGTATCATCCGAATTTGATAAAACATTTGAATACAAAGCTGATAACTCTGTGTTGCAAGATAGTGAGTCGCCTTCTGTATCAGAAGCATATGTTTGTGCTTCCAAAACCTCTGGTGAAGAAATCGAAGTGACACCTCTTGATATCAGTGGGTTATGTTTGTGTGTTGATAATTTATCTTTGGATAGTCCAAGACAGACAGAGAAAAGTAATTTACCATTAGATCATAAAGCCACAGTATATGATACAGATTCAAATTCTGATATTCCAATTTTAGGTATCAGAGTTGATGCAGATGTGTCTGAGAGTGTAGAAGTTGCTGATGGGCTTCATGACTTTGAAGGTGCATCAGTTGGTGATTCCACATTTGTTCTTGCAGACAGTTCAAATATCAGTTCACATAGCTTTGAGGCTGAGGCTGATGTAGTTGAGATCCCCAAAGAAAGCCCAGTATTATTAGAAGTCGCTGAGACATTTGATTCTGGACTTTCGTCAGTGGACCATACTTTTACCACTTTAGCTAGAAACAGTACTAGCACAGCAGGATCTGATGAGAAAATAGAAGTAGAATTTAATAAGATAATAGGACTTCACACTGATAGTCAACAAGCAACTGCTGAAAGTAATAAAATTCAGGGAGAGGTCCCATTCATATTTGGACATAGTAAGGAAGAAGCTTCAAGGGACTGTGTTTTACATAATAATGAGAATGTTCAGATATGTCAGAATATTGATATTAATGAAGCACAAGAACAACATGTGGTTGCTACAGAAGGCTTCAAGAAGTCAGATGTTTTAGAACGTATTACTCAGATCGAAGTTGAAGATATTAACTCAACTCTTGTTGAAGTTGATACAAGTACTAAGACCTCCTTCAGCAGTACTCTTCCTGTTGAAGAAACCGAAAATTGTCTTGAAAGTAAATTTTCATCAGACTTTGATTCTGCACAGATTTCTACGCCACTTGCAGTTTTGAGCGTTAACAAGGAAGCAAGTTCAGAATTTACTGAAACTGCAGTTCATCAGAAGCCAGAACCAGAAGCTGCAGTCTCTGTCATATCTCCTGAAGTGCCAAGTATTACAGCTGCAACTAATGCAGACATTGTAGCTGAAGATCAGAGGTTGCCGGTTCAGAAGGAACAGGAAGAAGAATTTGTGAAGGAGGTCCCTACCGTGTTGAGTGAGCTCTTTGAGATCTGTAGTCGTCAGCAGAAAGACCTAGAACTAGGTGACGAGAAATTTGTTGATGGTACAGAGTTTTTTTCGTATCCATACAAGCGACCAAATCTGAGAGAGAAAGTAGATCTTCATATTCCTCATAGTTCCATTCAGTCTGAATTTGAAAAAAGCCTCTTAGATCTGCCAGTCCCAGTTGAACTTACAGAGTTTGATCAATCAATAGCTGATGAAGCTGATAAGATCTTGCAAGAGATTATAAATTCATCCTCTGAATTTCACAAAACAGGTGTAAGAACAAGTGACAACAGACATTCAAGTGGTATAAAGCAGACTGATACACTGAATGGTATTGAGGCCATGGCAGATTCACAAAGTGTGTCGAAGAATGCTGTGACATCTGTGGATGAGAACGGTGGCAATCCCTTTGTTTCCCAGTGTTCCTTACATCGGTCTCCACCATCATCTCCACGACCTTCAAGCCAACGTCTCGGTCCTTGTGAGTCACCCCACACAAAGCCATACATAAATACAGTGAAAGATAGTTTCTCCCATGACTCTCCATCAGGAGACACTTCGCCACATTTCGTCTCAGGGAAAAGCAGCCCAGATCGCAGAATTTGCTCTAGCAAGGTAGGTAAGGTATTATTGTATATCGCAGGAATTACTCAGTTTTTTAGAATTTTTTTTTCAGATAATGAATATTGTTAAAAATTCCATTATGAATTGTATTGTGTATCATTTTTAAATTGACAAGGGATGCTTGCATAAAGCAATCAGGGACAGTAATACAAAGCAGTGACTACACTTAATATGCCCTTACCTTAAGGCTGTGATTTCTGTTAATGCACATAATTTCTTTCTTATTTTCTTTCACCAGAGGTTTTTTGTGATATATATTGAATGGGAATTCATACTTTTCTTTCATCAGAGGTTTTCTGTGATATATATTGAATGGGAATTCATATTAGGACAAGAATTATGTTGGGGATAGGAAATAGTCTGTAGAAGATTCACCCACCTGAGCTGGACTGAAGACAACTTGAAAAATATTTTTAAACCTTAATGATGTATGTTTGGAATCTGCTTATAATTAAGCTAACATTGAAATATTTAACGAGAAGAGTGTATTGTGAACTTGGCAGCTTGATTCTAAATATAATGAAGGTGTGCAGTTTTCTTTCTGGCTACAGAATATTAACAATATTGCTGTGGAAGTTCGTGTGACATTAAAGGTATGCAATTTTCATAGTCCTAGATATTCACTACTGCTTTCCTTCCCCGCCCCACCCTTCATGGAGCAGAGTACTTAAGAAGCTAATAGTCAAAGTGCCTGTCTTCTACAGAACAAGAAGGCTTATTAATGTATATCCAAGAGCCCACCACTGATCCTGAGACAGATGAATCCATTCCATACTTTCATGCCCTTTTAATTAAGATCCATTTTATTATTATTCTCCTTTTTGTTCCTTCGCATTTCACTATACCTTTGACAACATGAAACTGCACTGGTATATGGAAAGAAAGCAAGGTTTTATTCTTGTGGCAGGTGTCCAGTTTGGGAGACTCTATCAAGAATTCAATCAGCCCAGACATGAATCAGAGTGAAGCGGGTCCTGAAATTGCAGATGATGCACATTTACATAGTGGAGATGGTAAGCTGTAACCTGCTGCTTTCTTGCTTTGAGCCAGTAAGTTTAAATCGTGGTCTGCAAATAAAGGCCAGTGAGGTAGAAAACGTCTTGCCACCACCTCAATACAACACTTTATAAACCCACTGATTAAATAATTCACTGTACTTTTGAGAAGTTGCAGAGATCTCATTAAATTGTCCAGGCACATATGAACACTCAATGCTAATTAACTTCTGCAGTTGATGTGTCACCATTAAACAATATATTATCTGAAGTTGCAGGCTGTTAAGTAATGCCTTTTAATGAGAAAAAAAATTAAATAGTTTAATTTTGTCCTACACGGTGATTTGTTTATGTCGTCCCATATAATGTGAGCACATACACTGTAAGATGGAACGATATTGTTGAATAAATATGCATTTCTTCATACCAGCAGTGGATGGAGGCTGCTGGTTGTCTGTTCTTACTCACAGCTATGCATGCATGAAAAACAGTTCACCATCATTTATTCTTGCATCTCCACATATAAATGGTTCTATTTTCCTAAATATGAAAATCCATTCCTGATATGCAGTCATTAGAGCCATACAGTGTCCTGAGACATACTTCTCTTTTCTGAAACATTTTCAGCAAAGCCTGTCCATTGAGAAAATACAGTCCTGATTATCTGGCCTTGGTTAAATTCAGGTTGCCTGTCAGACCAAGTAAAAATACAGTGTTGGGTAATATTCATCAGTAGATGAAATACACATTTAAACATGACATCCTTGAATCTTGGCTGTTCACAGACAACTAAATCATACAAATTACGACCTGTACTGGGTAGTGTATTTGAGAACCTGAGAAATTCTGCGCCATTTATAGTTATTTTTACACAGATTTGTGTTACTTCATGACTGGTAACACAAAGCCCAAAATAAAATCTTTAATCAAGTCTGTCTCATATATTAAGTCATCACTGACAATTTATGTAAGCAGTTTATGTATCTTTTTCAGTGTTTAAGGATCCAGCAGCATTTGAATATTTGAGCTTGATGGGCAGTTCACATGTACCATCAGATTTACGTAAGGAATCTCTGTATGTGAAATTTGATCCATTGGTGGGCGGAATATCCATAACTACCGAGAAGTCAGTACCTTTGCCTTCATCCGTAGAAACAAACAGGTAATCGCTTACACCATACATGAATGAACATTAACATAATCACAACTGTTAAGTATGTATATCAATATGGCACTAAGATTTAAACAGAAATGTTAAGGTGGTGTTTATTCTTTGTTGATGTGATAATCATGGGCATACAAAAATAATAAAGTACAAATAACATTTATGGCATCTTTAGCATTATCTGAATTGAGACATTAAAGATTACAGTATATGTACATAAAGTGTTTATAATAGAAACTATATTACAATCCGTTCTTTACGATCAGAAGTCTGACTTATATTTCTGCCCATAATTCACTGCACTTGCATACATATGTGAGAATAAACATGTCAGCATGTATGAAACATGTTACATGCAGTGCGTGATGTTAAAGTTGATCCATTGTACTTGGCATAAGCTATGTTACAAGCTTGATCCAAATACCACCATCAGATAACTGACCTTCCATCATACAGAACAGCTAAGTAGGATTTAAGATTCTCATGGCAGTGAGTATGAAGATGGCTGTCTTCTGGGTGATTATACTGTGTAGTCTGGTAGAAGTCTGCTAGCATTGCACGGGCAGCAAAAACCTTTGAAATGTTGGTAAACATCTACCAGACTACACAGCATAGTAGCATCCTCTTCATCATGATGTTTTCCAAAGTAATTTGATATAATTCATGATCAGGAACAAATATTTTACTGTGTAACATGCATTATGATTAAATGGTTATTGCTGGTCAGAAGTGTAAGTAAAATTTTATGTTAGGTCACCATATCAGTGCAAGGTGCTTACATTTCAGCTCTGTACCTGCAGCTACGAGCCCTGGAAAGGAGCATCAATGTGGTAATACAACACCTGTCAAGAATCCCGCTCTCACGGTCATTGATAAATTGATTTCACTCAGTCCATCGCCTATGAAGTCATACCAGATGTCACCTCCGAGACAGCTTATCTCTCCTGTAAAGGAGTCTGTGCCACTTCCAGCCAAACAGGTATCTGACACTTGCACATCTGAGGCATGCATTTCTTACTTGGGCCCACATTGCAGTCGAAGTGACTGTCCTGCCTTAACTAGTCCGCTGCAGTTTGGTTTGTTGTTGTATGAGCATGAAGTATACCTCAGTGTTTTTCTACATCTGAAATTCTTGGGAGATATGACTGATGATCATTATAACTCAACTTCGGGTTTGTTTTAAAGGCAATTCACAGTATGACATGGTTTCAAGGTCAAGTCATTTCTCTTTTGGAACATACTACACTGTGAAGTACTGTGCTATTATGTGAAGGTAACTTGATTACAGGAGCCAACTGAAATCATCTGTTCAGAGACGGTGATTGGATCCAATGGAAGTGTGATGGAAGAACTGCATCTGTTGCGGGAATTGTGTGCAGCACAAGATGAGAAGTACAAGGAAAGGGTGATGCAGCTGGAACAGGAAATTGTAACTTTGAAAGGCCATGTTCAGAATCTGCAGTCCCTGGTGAGAGAGAGCGAAGAACGAGAGACTAAACTGAGCAAGAAGGTAGCTGAGAAAGCTCAGGCACAGAAACAGATGAGGTATGAGTGCCATGTGCTAAAGTGCTGCACCTTTTTCAGATGTTTTTTAGCTAAAGTAAAGCCATCCTGCTACACCATGGAGATGTTTGATGGGGGGAGGGTGGTATAGCTACTACTCATTCTTGATCTCAGTATTAAGTACCCTTAGATAGAGGGCTGGGTGGGCTCCAGAGCTGGTCCGGACACAAAGTCTAACAGAAAGATACTTCACACTTACCGGGGATCTATCTACCGTGGTTGTCCACTTCATAGCTGATCACTAAACTGACTGGACTACACCAGCTCTTATTCCTTTTTATTTGTTCAATATTATCATCATCAGTATTGGATAAAAATGATTGTGAAATCCACTTGTAATCAAACCTCAAGCTTATTGAATGTGTTTTGTTTTATGGTTAATGTCATTATTTATATGTAAACATTTCATAGTTATCCCTAAATATGTTTGAAAACACAAGTCACAAGTAAATTGCGCCATCTCTGAGAGTACACAGTCTCAATTTTCTTTCCCCCCATCTTTCTTTTAAAGTAGTTAATAGATTAGTCCCTATTTAATCCAAGTTTAATTTCATACAGCATTTATTATACCAGTGTTCTGTTTTAAAAATCTGTGATGGATGAAAATGGTAAAATATTAATCTGATATTGAGCCTGATATCACATGTTGAATTGGACAGTATCATATAAACTGTTGAAATGAAATGTAACACTAAAAACAAACTTTAAATAATGTGTATAGGTTAAGCAGAAAGGAACATTTAAAATCAGGGCACACAAAGACATTGATAGGTAATGTGACAGCTCAGATCTAGCGATCCTTTCTTTGTGTCTGCTAGTTCTGTCTTTGCTTTGAAAAATGCCTGTGGAGCCCACCAGTGATCTCCTTGGAATCTATGCATTGTAGTATGAAGATTACCATTAGTCTTCATTTGCTGCTGAATATAATAATATGCACTTTAAT